CACCAGAAGGAGAAAAACATGAAAAGCAGAGCTCACAGCTGAGATGAGAATGGGTATCCACCAATATATGCTAAGGGAGCAAAAACAATTAGGTTATGTTGGATCTTTCAAGTGCTGATGGGCTGACATGGTGTCAGACTAGGACGTTGTTTTTAAGGTGATTTCCCAAGGATTTGGGCCAATATTTTTCAAGAGTGACCAGTGGTCTGAGGTGTCCAGTTTGCAAAAAACTAACTGATTCTGATTTTGGGTGCTCTGCACTTTCTGGGGAAAAAATGGGTCCTTTTCTAAGACTCAAGTTGAAAGGCATCCAAACACGGTGGCGCTAAGCATGGTATAAGACTAGACTAGAATAGAAATTGGGCTCCTGAAAATAGAGATATCCTAAACCGCTTGTGTTTATTGACTATCGGACCTGTTTGTCCAGCAAGAATATATAATTGCCCAATGACTGACAGACAAAATGAGATTAAAAAACAAAAAAGCAGAAGAATCATAGAATCATAGAATACTAGAACTGGAAGGGACCTCGAGAGGTCATCGAGTCCAGTCCCCTGCCCTCATGGAAGGACCAAATACTGCCTAGACCATCCCTGATAGACATTTATCTAACCTACTCTTAAATATCTCCACAGATAGCCCAGAGCAACCTTTTGGAATTGGACACCCTTGAATTTTGATGCCTTACAAATCGGGATCCATTTCTAAGTTCTTCAGATTTGGTTAATGGGGTGAAGATTCTCTGCTCAATTCTATAGCAAACTGATCATAGACTTTTTAGAACAGGTTTCTCTCTATATTATGCAGCACAAATGGCTACTGCTCTGTATTATGGGTGGGCACAATGCAGGGCAGAATTGTTTTATGGCGATGTGATGGATGGGGGGAAGAAATGCCTATAAAGGGTTAAACTCAGAGAATCTGAGAATCCCTGAAAAAAAAGTGATTTTATTAACAAAACAAAAAGACATACTTGGTAAGTATACTTGGTTGCTAGGTGTTATAAAGCAACTGAAAAAAGAATAGATTAAAGCACCTTAGTGCTTAAGCATTTTTTAAATTGCTTCCCTGGGATTCAGCTTA